TTTTGTGATCCATTCGTCCCGGATTTGGAACTGGCGTCCTGTGGCCCGATCGGATCGCACAGCTAAACCAAGATTTGGACAATATACTCTAGTTTGGTTGCCCCTAGGTTCCTAAATAGATTTAGTTTCGCTTAGCACTACTGGGGTACTGTACGCCGTATTGTTGAATTAAAAATTTCAAATAGTTTAATTTTCGATTTGTAGCTACACTTGCATATACTATCGGTAAATGGACGAATTTATATACATAGTACATTCTTGCATAAATACTTGCTCTGAGTTAGTGTACGCTACAAAAACGCCTTCTAAATTAATTCGAATTTGTATAAAATCGATCGCATTTGCATTAAATTTGTTTACGCATAAATTACGACGTTGTTTACGCATAAATTACGACGTTGTAGACGTAAAGAACCTTTACGTCTACCCACAACGTACTCATACGAGCTTAGGGTTCGTGACAATAAAAACTGCCGATTTAATTACCAAAATTGACATTTTAATTATGATACTAAATAGTGCTAGTGGGAGAGTTCTAGAAAGAACTAGACACTCCTATTTTAGCTGCTTGATACCAGATGGCGCTGAAAATTAGCCACCACATACCAGGCGCTAATTATAGCGCGTAACACTGCCCCCTCCTAAGACATGCTCGTCCCGAGCATTATCGACCCCATAGTAACGCGTCAGTCGATCCACATGGACGATCTTAGGAGTACCTCTTGCGCCTTTCTGTATCCGGTAGGTTACGTCATTGATCCTGGTACGGGCCTCACAATCTGGTACGGGCCACCCCATTAAGTTTGAAACTTAGGAGATTTCCCTTTGCTGCGGATTGGATTGTGCAATCACACTAGTTAACCTTTGTCGAACCCTTTCTTGTTCATTTTGCGATCATATCGGGTTTTCATGTTTTCGAACATTTGCTGGCCCGATTGTCTGACGTGCTCATAAATGTCATTCATTTTGTTCCGCAAGTCATTTGCATAATCGGTTATACTGCGTGGGGTATCATGTGGTATCCCGGTGATCAGGTCTGCAGGCAGCCGTAATTCTCTTCCAAGGTTTTCGAAAGCTGGTGTCATTGATGTACTTTCGTGAAAAGCGCTTCAATATGACAACAAAAACGGTTGTATGTGCTTGTCCCAATCTCGTTGCCGATTGTCTACAACTTTTGCTAGGTACCTCTCCAATGTTTGATTAAATCGTTCTATCCTTCCATCGGATTGCGGGTGGTAGGAAGTTGTTATTATTTTATGAGTACTCATAACTCGGCAAGTTTCCTGTAATATTTGGGACTCAAAATTCCTTCCTTGATCGTTGTGAATCTCTAACGGTATTCCAAAACGACAAAAGACTTCATGAACTAGTTTATCTGCAACTGTTAAAGCTTCTTGATTTGGAATGGCAAAGACTTCTGGCCACTTAGTGAAGTAATCCATCACAACCATGAAATACTTGTTACCACTTTCACTCTCCGGAAACGGCCCCGCCACGTCAATGGCTATTCTCTCCCATGGTGCACCAACATTGTACAACTTCAATGCACCTCCACTACGAGTCTGAGGTCCCTTTACAGCCGCACAACTTGTACATTTGCGACATCAGTCCTCGACATCGTTTCGATAGTGGACCCAGTAAAACCGTTCTCGGTTCTTCAGTAGAGTTCGTTTAACTCCCAGATGGCCTCCTGAACAATCATTATGGCATAGCTGTAGAACATCCGGTACTTTAGCTTTAGGGACAACCATATGCAAATGACAACTGTCTCCCCGTCCATTTTCCCATTTACGGCATAGAACTCCATCCTGAAGCAGCAAGCTGTTCCATTGGGCCCAATAGCTCTTAGTGGTCGATTTATAGCTGAGATGTCGCTCCATTTGGGCTTGGAAGCACTGGCCTTCATCCATTCCAGATACTGATGAGACGTATTTACGCTATCAGGTTTTAAAACCAGGTTTTCGCTTCAAAGTACGGCGCCCTGGTACGGGCAAAAAATACTTGCAAGTATGAAAGTATGTGTTGTAAGTCAGATGCTCGAAGAACTTGAACACAACACATGAAAATACTTGCATAGGAAAATGATCCATATCTTAATAGGAATAAGAAACTCAATCGTATTTGTGATTAAAAAATACTTTGAACTTCAAAGTATTTTTTTATTTATACGACTTTGCTCCTTGTTCATAGTAGGATAACATGGAACACGGGTCGTATTCCTATGCAAGTATTTCAAAGTATTTCCAAATTTTGACACCGAAAGCAACGCGGGGTTCGCTCGACGCGTTGGCGGGAGGGACTCGCAGAGAGTAAGTTGTCGAGCCCTAGTATTGCCGACGAAGGCCGAATGCTTGAACGGAAATCTGTGTAGGTACTTAAAGCACATGCCATCCGATCGGATCGGGAACTTGTCAATCAAATAAGCTAACTAAAACGAAACTAATTAAGGAGCATAATTGCCTAAACATGCTATTCATAAAATTTCTTTTGACTATTTTGCACCATTCACCCTTATATCTGTATACAAAAGAGACATTATTGCGTGTATTTTATTTATTCGTAAAGAAGAGAATTATGTTTATGTTCGAGGAAGTAAAAGTTTTGTTTCGATTTTTTGTAAATTCAGTTGTTATTGTGAACTGAGTACGTAACCTACTGACCGTGACCTAATTTTTAAAGTTATTTTGCGTGTTTATTGAATTTAGAGACAATTTTTAAAGTTTTATTAATTAATGTTTAAGTACGTAAATAAATAAAACTGAACATTATTGTGTTTATTAGTTGGAAATGACGATGTTTAAACTGTAAATAATAGTGTGTAAATAGTGTTTTTTGTGTATAGATCATAGGTTCTTGTTGTGAATAGTAAATAGATCTTCGTACATACAAATCCATAAGTATGGCTCCTAAGAAAAGTTTGGCGTGGGATCATTTTTTGGACAAAGGAGAAAATAAAGCCGAATGCAAGATGTGTAAAGTAATTATATCGTACAAATCTGAAGTATCAAACCTTACCAACCATGTACAGAGAAAACATATTTCTGTTAATTTAATGAGAAGGGAGCAAGAGGTACCGCCGCATGCTTTACAAAGTACACAATTTACAATTTCCAATACTCCACTGCAAACTGACGCACCACCTAATACGATAAGGTCCAATACAGCCACTATGCCCACTATCTCGGCATTCCTTCGACGCGATTGTCAAAAAATAAAAAAAGCAAATTGATGATCATTTGATGAATTTGTTTATATGGGACTTGCAGCCATTTTCTATAGTGGAAGACAAGGGGTTTCTCGAATTAATAAAGTTTGCTTTCCCAAATTACATTATACCATCGTGAAAATATTTCGCCAATAATTTATTGCCGGGGTGGTATGAGGAGGTTAAAACTAATACTAAAGCAGCTCTAAGTGAAGATGCAAAAAGTATATGCTTAACGACTGATATGTGGACGTCGAGAAATAATGACTCGTATTTAGCGGTTACGGGTCATTATATGGATAAAAATTATAGTTTGCAATCAGTGCTCCTTGAATGTAAAGTGTTGAAGAGTCGTCACTAAATTTAGCCGAAGAGTTAAGAAATGTCTTTCAAGAGTGGAATATTCTTAACAAAGTCCTCCTTGCAGTATCAGATAACGGTGCCAACATCAAAAGTGCTATAGCTCAATTAGAGTGGAAACATTTTGGCTGTTATGCGCATACGCTTAACCTGGCAGTCCAAAAAGTATTAGGAAGTTCTTACATAAGCGATTTAATTAGTAAAGTGAAGGCTATAGTTTGTCGTAAAGCGACAATTAAAAACAAAAGAACCTAACCTAACAACAACGAAACAACAAAAACACGAATAATTTATTTAAAATTTTAAAAGATATTTACAGTTTTTTTTATAAAAAAAAATAAAGATGATGATGGGTGACGTGAATTACAATTATTTTTTTTTTAAAAATAACAAAGATAAATGAGTACTGAAACGGAGCTCGAAGTCCAAGGTGGCACACCGCGCTTGGCAGTGGTGCTCACCGCTCACGGAGTATGCACAGGCTATGCCTGTGGTAGGTGCGCAGCGCCTGATCTAGGCACACGCAGCGTCTGGAGTAGACACACGCAGCGCTTGAAGTAGACACACACAGCGCCCGGACTAGGCACAAACAGCGCCCGGAGTAGGCGCACGCAGCGTCTGGAGTAGGTACACGCAGCGTCTGGAGCAGGTACACGCAGCGCTTGAAGTAGGCAAACACAGCGCCCGGAGTAGGCACACACAGCGCCCGGAGTGGGCACACGCAGCGCCCGGAGTAGGCACACGCAGTGCTTGAAGCAAGCACGCACAGCGGCTAAAGATAGCGCGGGCACTAGTAGGTGGAGGCGTAGGCGTGGCTAGATGACGACTTCAGATGAAGGCAGAGGCTTGCAGGATCCCGGGGCAGTGCGGCCACGGGATAAGGCCTTTAGGAGATGCTTCTAGTTTGAAAGCTGAAGCGAGACTCCCTTTATTGGCCGATTGTTCGGCTTTTATACTTTTTAGAGAGCTCCGCGCTCGACGACGGATTTGTGAAAAGAACAGGAAACTATTTAAATTAAAAGCAAATTTTTGTAAATGACCAAGAAGAAAAGAGTATTTTTGTGGAAGTTTTGAAGTAAAAACATCAGACCGGTAACGAATTTGAATAAAATTGCCATGACAACCAGATAAACAACGATGTCAAAACATGTCAAATTTTGGTTTCAGGCTCGTAATAGAGAAACGGCAAGATTTAAGTGAAAAATGAGATGCAAAATATCCAGTTTTGAGGTGAATGCAGAAAATCAAAAACAGAATGGAAAAATAAATTTAAAATAGTGTAAAATGATATGTAAGTAGCATAACACTACAAGTTTCCTATTTCAAACGAAGTAATTTAGCATGGAATAAATTGAAAAAATATCAAGAACAGGCTAATAAAGTCGTAAAGAGGCCAATCCAAGATGTTGTTACAAGGTGGAACTCCACATTCTACATGTTACACAGGTTCGTGGAACTAAAAGATGAAATTAAATGTGCACTCAGTAATCTAGACACAGGTAATTTAATTATGTTGACCAGTTATGAATGGGATATATGTCAGTCGTTGATCATAGTGTTGCAACCGTGTGAAGAAGTGACGAGAGAAACGAGCGGCCAAAGATATGTAAGTGGAAGCTCAGTCATTCCGTTAACAATTGGTCTCACCAGCGCTCTCAACGAGATCGCCAGTCTGACATATCGGCAAGAAAATAACATTCACGTTTTCCCTGATGAAGTTGAAATGTGCCGACAGGATCTCCTCTCAGAAATAAGCACGCGATTTTCTAATTTGGAACAGAGTCGAACCTACACTGTTGCTATGTTTTTAGACCCAAGGTATAAGTTATACTTTGAGAGTGAAAACGTTGCGTACAATACGAAAAAGCATATCATAGGCCTAGTAACCACTATGATTAATGAAAATGAAAGATGTCAGTCTTTAGCATCAACTTCTGATGAGCCAGATAACCAGAGACAAAAATCTAACAGTCTGTTATGGAAGCACTACAACAGGCAAATGCAAAATGTACGACCAGCTGGAACCGCCAATAGCAGGGCAATCATTGAAACCCAAAAATATCTAGATGACACAGTTTTGTCTCCAGATATGGATCCTTTGGAGTGGTGGCGAATAAATCAGTCAATTTATCCAAATTTAGCTAAACTATCCAAAATAAAATTAAACGCAATGGCCTCTAGCGTGCCTTGTGAACGGTTGTTTTCCGTAGCAGGGAACATACTAACGGAGAGGAGGACCCGTCTGGGGAGTCGTAAAGTAGAACAGTTATTGTTTCTACAACGAAATAAAAAATAAATCAAAATATTAACAAAAAATAAAAAAATATATCAAGAAAATATAAAAAATAACAAAAAAAAATATACAAGAAAAACTAAAATAACAAAAAAAAATACAAAATCATGTATGTATATAAAATGAAATCTTTTAACTACGCCTGCTTGAAACTTGGACACTTGTATTAAGTTTCTATTCTAGCTCATGTCAAAATACTGTAAAACCACAGAATATAATATATTCTTAAATATTATTTAGCAGACAGTCCTAAGCCTGTGATTTAAAAAGTAGGAAGGAAAGATTTCATTTCGTTAACAAAAAATTAAAAAACGTTCAATCATAATACTCGTAATTGTGGCCCGACTCGAACTAGTCATTCATATTATTATATTGACATTAACAATACGGCGCGAGCAAAAAATACTTGCAAGTATGAAAGTACATGTTGTAAGACAGATGCTCGAATAACTTGAACACTATACGTGAAAATACTTGCATAGGAAAATAATCCATATCTTAATAGAAATAAGAAACTCAATCGTATTTGTGAATAAAAAATACTTTGAAGAACAAATACTTTTAAGTATTTTTAGAACCTGGTTTTCGACCCTGGTATTTTTCCATACTCGTACTTAAAAGCCCTGGTATTAAATTTTGCAAGTATGTCTCATCTCTAATTCCAGAATCGGCTTGATCTCCGGATCTTCCTGCTGTGCATGTTGTTAGCTGTCCTTCCACTCGTTGCTGAGGTGGTCTGTCCTGAGCATCCTCACAGATACCAGTTCCTTACCCTCTTGCCTAGTACAATGCTTGCAATCTTCAGGACAAGGTCTTCTTGACAATGCACCTGCATTGCCATGAGATTTCCCGCTTCGTGTTGTTCGATTACAAAGTCTTATTCCTGCAGTAGTTCAATCCACCTCGCAACTTGTTCTTCTGGATTTTTGAACTGCAATAGCCATTTTAGTGCAGCATGGTCAATTCGTAAGTGAAATTTCCGCCCAAGAAGACTGTTATGGTTACACCAGCACCACACATAATATGTGTAAAGCGTCCATCAGCATAAATACATAAACGCTGAGTGTGTAGTAATTTAAGTAGACTGTAAGCATAGGATTAGGAATTGTAAAAGACAATGGTCAGAATAAATTCACATCTCACCCTGTGAACACGTAGTTTTAATTAGTTTTTAAAAAGCTCTTGGCAGCTCCCGCAACTTGACTGGCGCAGCCGGTAGGATCATCGGAAAAGCTGTGCCACCGTTCGTGAATATCGCGTATACAATTTTACCCATTTTCACGCATCGGCGGACGTTCCATAGAGCGTGGTGATCTAGCGAACAATAACAAATTCGTTGAGAATAAGGAGCAGTAAAGCTGATGATGGGCACTGCGGGCTGGTGAGTACGACTCTTCACCTCCTTCATATCCCTTAGTAAACTTGGAATTAGACGTTTTCCAATTTGATTGTTATTTGGTTTTCAAATACCAATCTTACGTACATTTTATAAAGTATTAAGTGCAATAAATAACTATTACTTGAATAAAAATTATAATAATAAATTTAATTGTAATACGTACATAATATTGTGGCGGGGCTGTCGTCGCGCCGTAAGCGAAACACACCGAAGCTAAAGATAAAGATTTTAAATTTATAATTTTAAAGAAGAATAAAGATTTTATTTTTTATTTTTTATTTTTGTGTAGAACCAGTGAATAAATTATTAAAAATGTCGGAAATTGAACTTATCCCTAACGAATTAACTAAAATAATACCAACATTTAGCGGTTATAAACGCCATTTAAATTTATTTTTGCGTAAATATGAATATAAAATAAGTAACTTTAAATCATCCGATGTGCAAAATGAATATATAATGCAAATCATTACTAGTCGTCTTACGGGCGAGGCTGCGTCGCTTATCAGTGAACAGGAAGATATAGAGCGTGGGCCGAATTCAAGGAATTGTTTTTAACTCACTTCGGCGACCTACGTAGCGAGGAATGTTTAGCCATTGAATTAGAAACATTAAAGAAACACCAAAATGAAAATTATATAGATTTTTGTGGTCGTATACAATCCGTTAAATAAGTGCTATTATCGAAGGTCAATCAAATTGGTGATAAAAACTCAAAAATAAGTAAAACTATTATTTATAATAACACCGCTCTGCAGGTTTTCTTATATAATTTACCCGAAAATATGGTGCGCATTGGTACACTAGATGAAGCACTAAGTATAGTTCTAGAAGAAGTAAACTTCTGTGACCAATATCAGATGCGTAGTAAATAAAAAATAATGTTACAGTCTAGCCATACGTCTAAGCCACAGTTTAGTAGTATACCAGTGCAACAACCATCGTTTAAGTTCGCAATGCCAACACAGCCTACAGGTTTTAGACCAATGTTAGCACCAAATCAACCCCGTAGGCAGAATTTCGGAACACCACCTCAATTTAAGTTTGGCATTCCCCATAGTAGACAAATGAGGATTCCGTTACCACAAAATAAGCCTCAACAGCAAATGAGTTTCCCTAAGCAATATCACCCACCTCAGTTTGGATACTGACCTAATTTTGGATGCCGACCAAACTTTGGATTTAGACCCCAGGGCTATAGCCCCATGCAACTAATGTTACCACAACAGTTTGGTAATTCTCAGCGTTTTAATTATCCTAATAATAATAATGTGCATAATAAGCCGGTTTCTTATGATAATGATGTTTCTGCTGCCCCTCCAAAGCCAGGTTACCGCCTAAACGAATTAGAAATTTATCCATCATACTATCCCTACGAATTTCCTCAAAATTACATGTATGAGGAAACATACGACAAATATTATGAAGATGAATCCAAACAAGAAATAAATTTAAAAAAATTAAATCCTTAATAGAGGTCGAAGAAAACAATGATTCAGAGGATAATGACATGTCTGCACAGACTGAAAATTTTCAAGTAAGTCTCCGAAAACCACCTGAAATAATAGAATTGAATTGCGACAAAAATCTAAAACTACTATACATATATATACCGGAAATAGATGCTAATTTTATGATAGACACAGGAAGCACCCGTTCATTTATAAGACCCGATGAAGCATATCAATACTACCGTAATTATATAACAAATGAACCCTTTGAAGTTATAAGCACTCATGCATCTAGCAAACACAATCAGGTAATTAAAATTCCACTATTTCCCATATTTCAAAGCAATGACGAACATAAATTTTATCTTTATAATGTCAATTCACGTTATGATGGGTTAATTGGGAATGATTTATTAAAGCAGTTGGAAGCTGTAATAGATTTAAAGGAACAAGTACTTACCACAAATTCTTCTAGAATACCTATAATACACAATAGCTTAGAATATGTAGTAATACTTCCACCTCGTTCTGAAGTTAGAGCAAAATTACCTGCTAACATGTTTTATGGCGAAGGAATATTAAATTATACCCGATTCTGTGATGGAGTGCGCATGTCTTCTGCATTGGTAAAATGTGAGAATGGCTATGCCACTACAATTATAACAAATACGTTGGATCAACAAATGGAACTATCTATTAAGAAACCTTTTGAAATTTGTGAATGTGTGAATGATAAATCGCATGTAAATTCTATATATCACTCTGATCTGGAAAGGTAGCAGTTATTGCTTGAGAATTTAAACAAGTTACGACTAAACCATATGAATGAAGAGGAAAGGCTGTAGTGTTATGCTACTTACATATCATTTTACACTATTTTAAACCAATTTATTTTTCCATTCTGTTTTTGATTTTCTGCATTCACCTCAAAACTGGATATTTTGCATCACCTTTATTTCCATAGGATCCTGTAACGTTTTTAAACCATAAGAACACAATAACAAATCATTTTCACTTCGTATTTTCACGTTATCAGCACTTTTTAAATCGGTGTCAATGGAGTCTACCTTTTTCGGTCTTTTATTTAGTTCTCCGTAACTCTGCAATTTCGGGCTTCGTGCGCACTGTTGCGCTACCTTTTTTCCTATATCAATACTATCTCATTTTTCACTTAAATCTTGCCGTTTCTCTATTACGAGCCTAAAACCAAAATTTGACATGTTTTGACATCGTTGTTTATCTGGTTGTCATGGCAATTTTTATTCGAATTCGTTACCGGTCTGATGTTTTTACTTCAAAACTTCCACAAAAATACTCTTTTCTTCTTGGCTATTTACAAAAATTTGCTTTTAATTTAAATAATTTCCCGTTCTTTTCACAAATCCGTCGTCGAGCGCGGAGCTCTCTAAAAAAGTATAAAAGCCGAACAATTGGCCAATAATGATTTCTTATATTTACGCGAACACTACACATTGAAATAATACTAATTTTTACGGAATTTATCGCGTATATTTAACTTTTTTTTTTTTTTTTTTTTTTTTACCCGACGTTTCGAGAGCTTTACAGCACCCATGGTCACGGGAAGGACTGAGATGTTCAACGTCCAGCTGTCATAGTTAACCGCGGTTACCATAGATTAAAATTTAACTTTTGTTCCGATCTACACAGTATGAACTTATGGTATCATGGAGTCTTGCAGTTGTATGCTTGGGTTGGGATTTAATTTTATTTATTATAGGATCCCAAGCAGATGGTAGCACCCAGCCATCTTCTCTATTGAAATTAGGATGTTTTTTGATTTCAATAGCCTCGCGAATCATCCTTGGAAGGAATCGGTGTTCTTTAGCAAGGATTTGTGGTCTATCAAATCTGATGTAGTGACGGGGGCGATCCTGTACATGTTCACAGACTGCAGACTTCCCGGAGCGTCGATTCTTCACATCAGCTATATGTCCTGTATCTCCCATTGTCGCCGACATATTCATGGAAGACTTTGAGGAGAAAGCCCTGCTTACTTCTCCCATAAATCCAAGATTCTACAAGCGGTACGTAGACGACACTTTCACAATTCTACCTTTAGATAAAGTAACTGCATTTTTAGACCATCTTAACTCTATAAATACTAAAATTCAGTTCACAATGGAGTTAGAGGC